CCGCGAGCAGGTTGAGGTGATACCGCAGGGCCTCCATGCGGTAAATCCGCTCCCGGGCCTCCTGGGCGTCGAAGGAACCCCGCGCAAGGGCCGGGCAAAAGCCCTGGTCTCGCAGCCACTCCTCCATTCCGCACAACAGGACACAGCAGGCCCCGCCCACGCCCTCGCGAATCGTCTTTACTAAGATGGAAAGATGCCCCCCGGTGAAGAAAGGACTGCCGGTGTTCAAAAACCCCGTCCCGACAGCCTCCGAGGGGTTATTGCCAAGCTCCGGCGAAAGCTCCGTAAAGGACACGTGGAGGAGGGGCATCGAGACGGTAAAAGTGCGAAAGCTCGGCAACCCTCGCATTACGACACCCGCCGCATTCAACAAAATCATCCGCTCCGACATTATTGAGGACGAAGAAAGAAATGAGGAGTCCCCCACCGAGCTGAGTGGATCAGCGCTTTCCTGGCTGCCCGTCTGAGGGACCGATATACCCCGATTTTCTTCTGGCAAAACAGGGGAAGAAAAAGCCTCGGATGTTTGGCTGATGTGGAAACCTCGATCACTCATTTTGCCATGCTTCACTTCACCAATCGTTTCCAAAATGGGATTCATTTTGTCATTATTATTACTATTACAAGTGTGATTCGGCTCTTTGGCGACATCCATAAAAATCACCACCGCGTGGCGCTTGTACGGGATCGGAAAGGACGACAACTCGCGGACGGCCTCCTGGAGGTCTGCGCAATCACGCTTTCCCCGTCGAAGGCTTTCGGCGACCCCGGTGTAGACTTTCGCGAGGTCCAATAGAAAAGCTTCACGGAGGTCATAGAAAAGCTTCTCAAGATGCTCCTCTTGTGCGAGATCCACGCGGGTGTGCCATCCCCCACCTCCCTGACCCCCACGCCGGAGCGAGGGCTGTAAACGCTGCGCGGCGGCCATAAAGTCGGCCCGCCGAATCCCACCTAAAGATTCCTTCATCTCAGGTATTTTTAGTCGCTTACTCGTCAGGTAAAGCTGCGGGAGCGTAGTCCGCAGGCGGTTGAGGCTCGCCTCCGTGCAAAGTGCCTTTAAATCTGCACCGGAGTACCCTGCCGTGAGCTCCACCAGCTCCTCCAAGACCTTTTCCCGCGCCCCTGCCTTTTCTTTTCCTAATTTATCGTCCTCTTCGATTTGTTGGTTGGCAGTCAAGATTTCGAGAATATGCCGTCGGGCGGCGGTATCCGGAAGGGGGAAGAGCAGCTCGCGGTCGAAACGCCCGGGTCGGCGGAGCGCCGGATCGAGCATCTCCGGCCGATTCGTCGCCCCGATCACGACGACGCCTCCGCCCTCCTCCTCCTCCTCTTCCTCTTCCTCTTCGTTCTTATTTCTCCTCTTTTTTTTCTTATTATGGTTGCTAGGATTAGGCTGGTCATGATTTTCCATCCCGTCCATCAGTGCGAGGAGGGTGGCAACAAGCGCGGCCTGGGTCTGTTCCGACTTGCCCTGCCGAACCGGCGCGAGGCCGTCGATCTCGTCGAAGAAGATAATACTCGGCTGGCATCGTCGGGCCTCGGCGAAGAGCAGCCCCAGCTGCCGCTCGCTCTCGCCCACCCACTTGGACAAGATGTCGGCGCCTTTGCGGAGGAAAAACGTGATCGGCCGCGCGGTGGCCCGCGCGCCTTCTGCGGCGAGCGCACGGGCCATCAACGTCTTGCCGGTGCCCGGCGGCCCAACGAAGAGCACCCCGCGCGGCGGCGCCCCCACCCCCAGCTGTTTAAAC